AAGAAATATTAGTTAGGGCAAATTCAACCAGTCAATTAGGGCAAGTCAACGTAACTATCCAGTTTTTACTTAACAAAAATTATATGGTAGCACAAACATGTGAACACACAAAACTTCCAAATCAGACATGAATAAATACATTTTGAAACTCCAGTCCACTATTAAATTTAATTACAATTTTAATTGTCTTGACTAAAAGCATAGAATATGGATTGAATACATCAAATTAAAGGGTTATACTCATGTCCAATACAGTGATATAGTGCAAAACTTAATTTCAGGCTGCATGGTTGGTAATAAAATAATTTGCATGAAATTAAAATATTATTTAATTCGCATATTTGTCAGAGTTTGAATTTGTAAATTCAGAATTAAAAAACCATGCTAATGGAAACTGCCAATTTAATTAATGGTACAGGATAATTATACGACGTTACCAGTTGAATTTGCAATATAAAACTTTAAATTTCTGCAGTGAAATTTAATCTTAAAATTAAAAATAAAATGACCGAGACTTGTAATTGTTCATTCTTTAAATGTCCCATAATGTGACGATAAATTGTCCTGAAAATTATTTAAATCCATCAATATTTGGAAAGTTACAGCGGTTTTACTAATATAATTCTCAAATCGGTGCCGTGCTGTACGTACGTGCCACTATATTGGACATAATGCCTATATAGCAAGTGTCCACGAAAGTGACTGCTATTGACTGCACAGGTACTAATCGCAATTGATTTTTGCTGTCAGATCTACTATCATTATCAATGTTATACCAAAGGTTATACCTTATAATTAAGGTATAACATTGATAATATGATAGTAGATCTGACAGTAAACATCAATTGTGACTAGTACCTGTGATTGTCTTCTTCCTTTATTTCAAGAAATATTATCACAAATTAATGTAGTATCTATGAAATATTAACTTGTCGCACGCAAAGTTAAGAAAAGAAATAATGTATTTCCTTTTCTTATCGAAAGTAGAAAGCGCTACTCCAGTAATAATAATAATCACGGTATACATACTGTTAGTTTGTTTTTCTATTTGACGTTACAAATAGGAAATGGGTTTCTGACCCTACTCCAGTAATAATATGTCTACAAGCTATAGGCTAGAGATAGTAGTCACAATGCAAAATATTTCCCCATTTTTCATATTTCTTGTTATTTAAGTGTGCTATACTTCTCACGCATTTACTTACAGTTACACGTACAAAATCAAAATAAGAATGTCAACGAATTCCCAACTTTGAAGCAACATTATGATAATCATTATGAAAACAATTGATCTAATCATGAAATGCACATCATGCAACCACTATGCAAAGTATTATCTTAAATCCCTCAATTGAACAAATAGATATAGAACTGTAAAATTGGATGGTTTGACTCTGTGATCTTCACCTTTGATATTGCAGATATGGCCTGAAATTGTCACAATTTTTGTAAACAATTTTTACAGTATTCTCAAAGCTAATAAAAAGCATTGCATCACGAGTTATCCCGACAGTCACAGTATCTTGAAAATAATTAGTAAACTAAGTAGAACCCATTACCCAATCTATATAATAATCAGGAGTAGATAATAGGATCAGGAGTAGATAATATTAGAAGTAGATAATAGTTCCCTATTATTTACTCCTGATATAATCAATGGTGATATACAATTACAACTAAAGCACACAAACATTATTTTTCAGTTGGTACCAGATCAGCCAATATATCTAACCGACGACAATAATAGGGCTGTATTGCCAGATCCAGATCGTGGATTTGGTGTGAGGTTATCTTCCACCAGTCACTACAAGGTGACGGGAACGCCGCGTCCCGAGAGAGCCATCACGCTCCAGGCCGCCCCACATGTACCAGCACCAGCCCCAGCCCCAGCACCAGCACCAGCACCAGCCCCAGCCCCAGCACCAGCACCTGAGCAGTACTCGGCTCCAGTAACAACAAGTTTGTTTTCAAATGGTGAGAGTAAATAAATGTATAAGTAAAAATGAAATAAAACTAACCGTTGACTTGTAATTATTATTGAGCATACAATCTGATTGCTTATCAATTATTTCCATACTTAAGTGACTATAGTACGTATACAGCTCTTAAACCTCTGTTGATGTTTGTTAACAGGTGGCACACCAAGCTTTACCATGCCTGGGAGACGTTCTGTTAGACGGTTAGTAACTTACAGTATATGAAGCTCTATCGAATGCAGTGTGCAATACAATTTAGTTGAGAACGAAATCAAGGTTTTACTAATCTTTGTGCTAAAAAATAAGGATTTTCGTTAGATTAAATTCGTTAAATAAATTGATAATTTTTTTAAGAGCTCTTGGCAAGTCACTTATGGGGACAAATCCTAAAAATTGTAATAAATTTATTATAGTCATTATAATTGTGGGGTTATATATAGGGGTGTAACAATGCATCGAACTATCGATTCATTGCAATAGTATATTTGGCTCAATAGCAATGCATCGATAGTAAAGTAAAATATCAATAGTTATTGCCAATACTATCGATTGTTATTAATAGTCTCAAATTTGAATCAATGGACTAGTTATTCAACAATCTCTGCATACATTGTAAATATATACAACTGGAACCAGCATAGTGCTTACTACATGCACATATACCAAGTTTACATTAGAAAACTCGCTCACCAGCTAGCTAGTGCATAAGAGGTAACTTGACTTGAGGAACACAGGTTATACGCAATATTCGATCTGTTCCAATGGTTGCTAAATTCTACAATTTCTTGGGAAAACTGGTTCCTTTAATAGTATTGCAATTGTATCGCAATAGTATTGCAATTACTGCAATAGTATCGTCAATATAGTATTTCAGCTATTGCAATACTATCACAATAACAAAATTGCACCCAATAGTCACCCCTAATTATATATCTTTACTGGTCTCGCCATATCATTATTTAGTTTATCAAGATGGGACATATATTGATCAGGACATATTTTCTCTATATTCTCTATATTCATTAACTGTAGGTATACTTTGTTATTAAAGGAAAATTCAAGTCGTCGACATGGTTGATGGGCGCCTTCAGCCCAATAGGGCCACATTTGTGGTCCTGAAGGACGGCGAGTTTTCTGTTAACTCGGTGGCAGAGAAGGTGGCTGAATCCCTTAACTGTGAGGAGGAGGCATTTGTTCTCCTGGACTCCAGGAACCAGGAGATCCAGGACTGCCGTGCCACACAAGGTAATCCCTGGACAGAAACTGGATACTCTGCTACTTTCTGAACATTATAATATCTCGTAAGGATACTGTTCGGACAAATCAGCCTAATGTGTATTGCATTCGATCAGGATTCGATCAAGGATTCATAAGTGTTGGTTTCCCCTTCACTGACTCACCTCTTGTTGCCTGAGTTCTCTCAATTTTACTATATGTATTTGCTAAGAAATAAACATTGTAAAAGAAAATATTTCCAGACCTCAAACATTGAAAACATTCCTAGTGATTATTTGTGGTTATGTTGGTCTGGAGTAATATTTTAACAATATTTTATATCTTGCTCCATCCAAGTACATGTACACATAGTTTGCTGTTATAACACTTTGAAATGGGTGACCAGACGTCCCGTATTGTACGGGATCGTCCCGTATTTTGCCCATGTGTCCCGCGTCCCGTACCGACCGCATGTTTGTCCCGTATTTTTAACATTTTGAACAAAATTAAAAAAGGAAGAAATTTCATCATATGACAATTGTTTGCCTTCGAAACTCTCATCGCTCGCGTTCATTTTACATACGCCTCCACAGTACACTGGAGACAGGCGTATTGTCTAGACGCATTGTCTGGTTCGCTTGATACAATCAAGAGTTAAAGAGTAGATAATAACACATTGTGCTATTATCTACTCTTGATACAATGTATACACATCACATTTATGCTGGCGCTTGCAAATGGGTAATGCTATCCCCCGGGCGTGGAGGGAGGTGACCGCAACGTGGCAGCACTAGTGTTAGGATAGTGTTAGGATTAGGGTTAGGGTCAGGGTTAGGGTTAGGGTTAGGGTTAGGGTTAGGGTTAATTTTTAATTATTAATTATTAATTTTTAATTTTTAATTTTAAGGGTTAGTGATAGTGTTAGGGTTAGGGTTAGGGTTAGGGTTTTTGCATCATGATATCTGTCCCCACACCATAGATTAATTTTTGTGGATAACACTGCCTATATATAGCGCGGCGACACATATATATTTAGTGTGAAGGTTAGTGTTGGCGGTGTTGGAGTGAAGGTTAACGTTAGGGTTAACTTTTTGAACGTCATCGTCAACGTTATCACGTGACCTCCCTCCACGCCCGGGGGATAGCAACACCCCTTGCAAATATGCTATGCCTGCTGTGTAACGCTAAAGTGGCCTGCGCCCGCTCAGATTTTGACGATTTTTTTTACTATCCCGGCGGGATACCATGCATGCAAGCATTGAAATCTGGTATCCAACACAAGAATCTACTATCCCGCGGATATCGGGATACCGCTAATTTCGACCCCTTGTATACGTACGTACGTACGTCTCTCTTTCTGCGTGGCACGCGTATATCGTATTCTTTGTGCGTGTGTGTGCGCGCGCGCGCGTGTTCCGTTGATGCACTGTATGAAGAGTTCTGTAGCTTGACCTCAATTTCTATTTAATGCAGAGTAATTTGTCCTTTTCTGCAGTACAATGAAAAGATAAAAAAAATCACTTTAAAGTGTGCTAAATTGCATGATTTGCACCCCCAATTCAAAAAAAAGTTCTTACCCACACCCTACCCCGCTCGGTCGCTCCGCTTCTTCGCATCGTTTCCTGTCCCGTATTCAAATTTCTAAAATCTGGTCACCCTGTTCAAACTTTGAATGAATGAGTATAATAACACACATACTTCTGATCGTCTCATACCTATATATTTTGTGTACATATACCCAAATAGATTAACCATTTATAATTTTCTTATGTTCATCAACAGAAAAAGAATTCTGGCAGGCCTCAACAAGGATCATTAAGGCCTGCATGGTAGCAGATTTTCAAGAGTGGCAAAGCAATCGTGCAGGCAAAAGAAGGTTTGTGTATTTCAGTTATTAAGGGCAAATTTAAGACAATAATTGTACAAGAATTGTTGTGTAGACATGGTTTCATACAGACACCTGGTAATATATCTATCATATTTGAATCTTGTTTCATTCTAGGAGGACACAAGGAGGGGCCGGGCGCTCAGAGGACCTGGACGAGCTGGAGGAGCGTGTGCGATCCCTCGTACAGGCCACACGGGTCGCTGAAGGGGCTCAGGTCGGAGTCACTCTCCCTCTACCACCAAAGGACCTCAAGAGGTTAACCGAAGCGTTATCCTGTGTGATGTGCAAAGGTATTTAATTTTGCTTAAGGATATTTCGAGGTGCATTTGTGCATTTAGTTTAATTTATATTATAGCCATAACTTCACACCTAATAAGATAAATGTGATAATTCTAAGAATCCCAAGAAAATTAAATTGCATTCGAAATGGTATTATAAGCAAAATAGCAAAATAATTTAACATTTTCCCCTTTATTTCAAGAAATATAATCACCAATAATATAGTGATATATCTGTGAAATTTTAATTAACTTAGTGCACACAAAGCTAAGAAAATAAACGATGTACTTCTTTTTCTTCTCGAAAATAAAAACCCCTACTCCAGTTATAATGTCTACAGGCTCATAATTATAATACCAGTAGTGACAAAGCAAAATATATTCCAATTTTTTCTAATTTTTGTTATTTAGGTGTGAAGTTATTACTTTAACAGAATGTTACGGTTTTGCTACATAAGATGTATTGTCGACTCCTCAAATACATTTACGTCATGCCACCCATACAACATGACATGCTATAAATTGTGTGGATTTGGTGTTTCAAATGTATTATAAATCTGGGAAATAATTTTAGTCAGATTCTATGTGTGCCAAGGTGCACCAAATTGGCACCTGGTCGCAAATTGGCCCATATGTGCTGTGCTTAAATCATTATAACAACTAATTACCGGTATGTCGTTCTTTGTTTACAGGGCCAGTTCAGAAACCAGTGGTTTCTTCCTGCTGCCAGTCACTGCTGGGCTGCAAGGCATGCTTGGACAGTTGGTGGGCTGGGAGCAGTGGCTGCCCCAAGTGCAACTCCGAGCAGGGGAGAGAGGGTCGACTTGACCTAAAGGGCCTCGATGACATTTTTGCCATGCTGTTGCCCATCACAGGAGCATTAGACAGCTAGAAATGTATTGATATGATTGAATACAAGTTAAATTGAGTAATGAGTATTATTGTTGTTGTTTATTATTCTGATTGTGTATTAGGTAATACATTCACAAATTTACACAGGTCGGACCCGGTCATAAAATCTGAACACCCTGGAAACTAATATATTTATAACTAATATTCTGATTTACTACTTATCTGTTGCCTTAGATTTTATTTTCATAAATATCAAAATTACAATATAATGGCAACTGGTTTTGAAGGATTCTAACTGCTAAGATAGTCATATACAGAGCTCCAGATAGCATGCATATTTGTGTATTGTGCTATAACTATGATTTATCTATACTAATCTATTAATAATGAATGATAATTTCAAAGTAATTTTATAATAGTAATCGAATTGGTCGTTACTCATACCATCAAAATTGAGGAGTGTCGAATTGGGCGAATACTCATGGTAAACTACTCATTACTCCTGCATTTCAAAAGTATGAGTAAATACTTGCATATGCAAAAAATCATCTGATATATAAGTAGCTATAACTCTCTTTTGTATCTGATTACATGTACTCTAAAGAATACTATCTAGTGCAGTGGTGTCGCACTATATCTATCAACACCAGCAGGGCAGTTTGGAAGGGTTTATAGTCCCGATTGACTGCCTTATTCAGAAGGATAGATAAGTCCGGTACAGATCACAGCATCACTCAGCTGTTGACTCTCTACAGCTGTGAATGGAGAGGGAGCAAATAGTCCTGGATCTGTCAGGGCTGACCCAACCTCTTCAGAATATATGCCAGGGCAGCTGTTTCCGCACACAGAAAAGCAACTGGTCTCACAGTGGTATTCTTCTTGTTTACGGCCATACTATTCGGGATTCCGCGTTCTGATTGGTGAAAGGAAAACCGTATAGTGGCCGGCTGTTTAAATCGTCACAAATCGACTGGAAGATAATGTGATAATGAAAGTTGTCTAACTACTAGATCCTCTCACATTATAACTCGTACAACATGTATGTCATAGATATGGTACATGTATTAAATGAACAAATCTACTCAATGCAGAATGTTTTTACATTTGTACCTGAAATTCTGTAGCTGTTCTATGTGTTGACGCAACTGTCCATACCAATTCTAGCCACCTGCAGAGTGAGACTGCAGATGCAGTAGCACTGCAATGGGTCCGAGAGATCTAGTGCTTCTTGGCCCACCATTTCAACTAGGGCTGATTTCACGCCACATCCTCTCGACTCTCAGATTCTATAATCACGTACACAAATTACAGCACTTTTTTTTAAATGCATTTATTTCCAGATATACATATGTATCAGGAGTAGATAATAGGGAATTCCCTATTATCTACTCCTGATATGTATACATCTTAGATAGGCCTTCACTGCAGCAAAAGTTGGTATCCTGCTAGATAGTTTTAAATGATATATCACAAATTTGGCTATTAAAATAGTAAAGTTGAATATAATATCACTGCTGCATATATATCTACATTCACACTCTACAAATAGGTGTACAATGGTTTCTACACAAGGTTCACATAATGAGCATGCATTATTATCTTTAATTTTCACCATAGTGACTAAGTAAGATATTTAATTGTTTGTTGGTATAATTATTTTCAGTATCTTAAATTGAAAGTATCTAAGCTTAGCTACCAGTGTAACATTAAAGGGGAGTTTATCATTTTTTTCTCCAAAAAAACATGTTATTGCTTCATCATCAACAAAATTTAGATCTTTATTCCATTCTGTTTGTGAACCTGATATGATATCATTATTATTCGAGGCAAGTATCTTTGTGTATACACGTACACAACAACCCTTCTTCACACTTAGTACTGCCACTAACTGCAGTAAAATACAGCAGGGGAAGTGTAGAATTGACTTAATTTGTTAGCGACTGTGTTTAACCACACCTTTGGAACTGCTCGTTTTAGTCTGAAATAATCCAGGAATATGTAATAGTTATCATAAATTCTAATCTTAAGTCCTGCATGGTTTTTAGACACCCGGTTTCAGAATTATTTATATCTCTAAGAAACAAAATACCTTTATTGTACCATGCATGAATATAGTCAAACTAATTAATAATATTTGGATTACCCCAAAGTGGTTGATTTAGTATGTCTATTGCTTCCGTAGGTTCAAAAATTTACCCAACGCTAAAAATACATCCAACCAAAACCGATTTTCTACTACTGAAGTATAGCTAGAACCTGTTGTTAGTCTTTTATTCATGTTATACTGCTCGGAAAATATGTTCCATGCATCTTCCTGTCTGCAATATTTACTAACCCAGGACAGTTTTAAACTGGATATAAATATATTCATGTCAATCATTCTTAAACCTCCTTCCTCATATCCTTTGGTAATTAGTTTTTTTTTACTAACTTTGGGTACTTTATTACTCCAGATAAAAGCAGTAAACATTTGGTCTAGTTCTTTTATAGTATTATTATCAGGGTTTGGTAAAGCTAATAATAAATGGGTTATTACAGCCAGGCCCATCGGAAGGAATTTTAAAGTGGTATGGTTTCAGTGGGGTATGGGGGTGAAACCCCCATCGGGGTTCGAAGGGGCAGTCTGACCCCCACAAGTGATACAAGTGGAATAATGATTTTGATAACTTCTCGAGCGTTCCTTGTGCACCAGTGCACATTCGTACGATTATACTGAACAATGACAAAGTCAAAAAAGGCAAAATGGAAAAAAGGCAAAGTCACTTCGATGTTCGTGTTCTTCCATTAAGCTGGTGATAAGCCTACGATCAGCCGGTTACAACTCTATAGACCGAAGGTCCGATAGACCGAAGGTCCGATAGACCGAAGGTCTGATAGACCAAATGTCCGATAGACCGAAGGTCCGATAGACCGAAGGTCCGATAGACTGAAGGTTATGTGTTCAAGGTGTAAAGATGCATTTTCGAATACGCAGTGGCTACGCGTCCAGAACCGGTCGCCTAGCCTCCAGGCTACGCATCCGGACATCCACTCACACAGTGATCTCGCGACTTGCGTACACACGAAGAGATGGAATGTGGACGCAAGAGGTGCTCCTCTCTCCTCTCGAGAATGACTAGATCTCTGCTAGCTGACTCGAGGATGTCTTTCTCTTGGATCGTCAACTGAACTGGTCTCAGTAACAGAAGAAGAACAATACACTCGAGTCTCGTAACAAATGAATCAATGGACTACATGCTGTCTCTGGGAATGTCCTTGCTGGTCTCTCCGATGTCTCCGATCTGAGAGAGAAGAGGGCAAGAAGAAGACAGCATCAGAAAACATGGGGAAGGCTAGGTCCTGCTGAGGATGAGAGACAGGGGGGAGACAGAGTAGAGACAGACAGGAGATGACAAGAAGATGACAGACCAGAGAGGCTCTCTCATCTCTCGTCGTATGTCGATGCGAGTGCAGGAGAGACGACGGAGCGAGAATCGGGGAAAGAGAAGAGGAGAGAGAGGAAGAGACCGCCCAGGGCATGTCTATCCTGTCTCTCTCTCTCTTCTTCATCTCTCTCCATTCTCTTCTCTCCGTCTCTCTACTCTCCTCTATCGCTCATCTCTGCTCTCTCTTGTCTCTCCTCTCCCTCTCTCTCTCACACACCCAACTCATGCTCTCTTTCTTCTCTCTCTCTCTCTCTCTCTCTCTCGTCTCTCTCTCTCTCCTCACACATCAAACACACATTAACAGCACACACACATACACCACACACACACCACACAAACACACGCACACACACACACACACACACACACCTCTCTCACTCTCTCTCACACACGCACACGCACACGCACACGCACACGCACGCACACGCACACACACACACACACACACACACACACCTGGAGTGTCCCACTATACCGGTAGAATATCTAACATCGTCATTCAGATGTCATAAATCCAAGTTCTCATAAGTAGGCGCTCACACACGTGTGTGCGCGTCTGTGTCTGTGTCTGTGTCTGCGTGTGCACGCTCACTTTTTTTCCCTTCTTTTTTTTTTGGCTGAAAAGTGGTACGGTCAATCCCGTACCAACCGTAGCGGCTCCGACGGGTCTGATTACAGCTACCGTCTCAAATTTTAGGACACTGATCAATCAAAATCGTTACATGCTCATTGTTGCTCACATTAGAATTGTATTTGATGACGTGGTAACAGCAGATAGAAGGTACAAAAATCTAATGACATGAGAACTCACAGGGGCGGATCCAGGGCTGAAGCTTAGCTGCTAGACAGTATTTTTCCAGATTTTAAGGGCACATCCCCCAAAAAGGGCACACCACCCCACAGTGGGCGCCGTCAGGCGCGGAAGCACATGGCGGGGGTGTGGGGGGCCTCCCCCCAGAAATTTCAAAATTTCAAAGGTCCCTGGGCACAAAAATGAGCACCATTTGAGCACATATTTAGTCAAGCAGCAATAGCTAAAAACCATATGGAATTTTATTTCTGTTTCATTTTGCCTGCGCTTTGCATACCAGCAATTAATGCAGAATGATCGATTCAAGCACTTTTCTTCTTTTTCAGATATCAAAGCTAGTTTTGTTACCATGTAAAATTTTGATTTCCTTCAAGTCCTGTCAATGAATCAGAAGAAAAAGAAACCAAATAAAGAATATAGCCAAATTCCATCAAATTGTTTTCTGTATTTTTTAGCACAAAATTTCGAAGGGCACTTTGAAATCTAGACCGTATTTCCCAATACGGCAAATACGGTCTGAATCCGCCCCTGACTCACATGCTTGGATTGTGACTGTATGAAGGCGGCCCCAATGAAGTGTTGAAGCGCTTCTCACTGTTTTTCTCCTGCGTGTACATGCATAAGGAAAATCTCTCGGCCATGGTCGACCCGAATGGTGTCCCACATCCCCTCCTCCAAAACAGCAGCCCTGTAACGTGATCAAGCACAATTACCTAAAAAGGTTAATTAAGAAATTGTTTGGTTCCCATTTACCCAATTTTAAATCTTCATTTTAGTCCATGTGATACGGACCCTCCATGTGATACAGACTCTCCATGTGATACGAACTCTCCGTGTGATACAGACTCTCCATGTGATAGACTTTCCATGTGATACCGACACTCCATGTTATTTATCATAAACAATCTTCAAATGTACAAATTTCTATTTCATACCTGAGAACATTGTCATAAATTGTGAGATTGTTCTTGATGGGCATTGTGGCATGCTTGACAATTCTGCTGCTGTAGCCATCAACAGCAATTACGTGGGTGACCCCAAACATGACCAGCTTCTCATTCTGGTCCATGTGCAGTTTGTGTCCGTAGTATGGGATGCTATGGTATGGGATGCTGTTGTGGTTCCGCACAAGCTGTAAATACAAAAAAGTAGATATATCATTGCAAGGGTAGCAAACTAGCAATTAAGGAAATGTCTTGATAATCAGCAAGCGTAATAGACGAGAAAATGTATAAATCACATATGACTGCAATCTCCACAGAATTATAGAAGATTATGATATGAGAATAATAACAAAAACATTTAGTCTGGGTGAGATGGGAAAATCTACCAATTTTCAGTGATACAGAAAATATCACCTGATTGTGCTTTCACTGTCACAGCCTACACAAATGATATTTGGATTAATATCGATATTTGATCAAATAGGATGCCACTGATTGCATTATAAGTCAATAAAGTCATAACTTCATTTGATTACACGTGCACGTGCTTTCAGTCCACCCGGCTCCACTTTGAATGTATAAGAACGACCGAAGAAACTTCTCTTGGCATTCAACGGTGACCGACTAGAGTAAACGTCGGAGTGCATTTTTCATGTATTTTGAAGCACTCTAATCCCTACAACACTACCACTGATGACAAGTCATATAATTTTTCCATAAAATAAAAGAATCACTGAACACATAACCAAGACAAAGAATGTATCGTCATCATATTTTTTAAACAATCATAGAAATAATTATATGGCTTTTGCTAGCACCCAGTGTACCTTAGTACCTTTAATCACATCACAGGTTTACTTTACGTAACAATAAAACCGACTAACATAATGCAGTCATCGCCTTGGCTGGTAAAATACCATGGCATTAATTATTGTGATAACTGCCGAAATGTATTGAGCCTAACTAGAATATTATTTTTAGAATGATAATCATTTATTATAAACACAACGTTGAATAAGTAACGAACTCACCAAACCACTAATGAACCATTATTACTCATTACTACATGATGAGATAATATAATTAGCATTATAGCTCAAGAGGAATAGAATTTGAGGGCATTACAGTTTAATAGCTATTGCATAATTAAAGGTGAATAAAAAACGCTCTCAGTCTGCTACCTTCACTGCATGCAGGTGAAAACTGGATTCGCAATACTTCGTAAAAGCAGCACAAACAGTGGCGCACAGCATTGATAGCAAGTGATATTAGACAGTGTGAAAACTAAACCGAGGTCGACACTGTATTTAAATCAAGATCAATATAAAGATAACAATTAGTGGTTCTGCTAAACCTTCTCTACTCACAAATTCTCCCGTGATTGAGTATAAGAGCACAGCAATAGAAACTATGGTAGTGCAAAAAGTATGCGAGCTTTCGACGGTTTTTATGAAACCTGGACTCTGGTTCATTGTGGGAAGTGCCGGAATTCTGAAACCTCACTGCATCCCTTGGCTGGCTACATACTTGTCATAAACCAACTTGGCTGAGACAACATCTTCTATAGCAACACCTAAGAAGAAAAATACAACACGAATATGACATCATAATAAGAAACGATAACATATATCGTCATATATAATAGAACAAGGGAAATTAAATTACAAAAAATTATCTATGCACTCGTGCGCAATAAAGATACATTATTACTTATATACATATAGATTACAATTAAGTCTGTTTTACATACCCAGTGATATGAAAACTGTTGTTTTGTGTTTAAATGCCTCTTTCCTTCCAAGGATGACTTCTCCCACTTCAGCATATATCTCTGCCTGCAGTGAACAAACGACCACATGCAAGCCACCACTAACCCATGTACACATCAGTATACATATGTTTATGAATCCCTACATAATATCGAAATCTTTTGTTTATAACTCCCTTTACTAAAGTAGGAGTAATGGCAAGGGGTAAATAGTTAGTAACAATGTAAATTAAAACATTGAGAAACCTGTCAAGATTATATTTCCAAAAATGTCTCACTGTAATGCTATACGGATAGTTTGATCACAAAATTCTTGCTAAATAATCAATATCTATATTGGGTAATTACAAAGCAGCAATACATGCTTAAATAATCAAATAAAACTCCTGTCGAAATGGTTAAAGAAGAGTGAAACTATTATTAAACTTAACATAAAGAGACGAAACCTCACAAAGATGAGAATTGTTCAAGAGGTATATAATATGACGTGTGTAGCAAGTTTTACAAGCTGAGAAGCATGCATATCTTGAGTAAAATAAAACGGCTAAATTACCTTGTTTATGATAATGTCACCAGATTCCTTCAGTGCTCCCTCTCTGCTATCGACATAGACGATGGCATCTCTGGTGAGGGATTCTGATAGCTCGCGAGAGCTGGCTATACATGCCCCCACAGCTGCAATATTCGTGGGAGACTATAAATCACGTGATATGTTAGTGCACCTACAAGTTTGATTTATTGAATAGATGGCCGAGTACATTAGGCGACCAACTTTGTACCATAGATATATATACCAATATTTATCTATGTTTGTATATATATCTATATATATATATGTTGGTATATATATCTATGTTTGTACGAAAGAATACTATACCACTGCTGGCTATTAAGTTTTTGTTCAAGAGATGGCGCCACCATGTAGTTCACGTACTACACCACTGTGGTTTAGTGAATAATCATCACCTCAGAACCAACTGTGTGCCATTGATTTGCAAATAATGGCAAAGTAGCACAAATTTAGGGAAAAACTAAATAAGCATTCTGCCAGTAGTTACTGACTTACCGTTGACATGTGCGCCTGCTTTAACCCACTCTCCCTGCAGAACTGGTGTTGCCGAGAAGGTGACAGTGCAAATAATATCAGCATCTTTAACAGCCTCCTCTGCACTTTCACACACTCGTGCCCCAAACTCATGTGCAAGAGCAGTAGCCGTTGCCTTTGTTCTGCTCCAAATTCTAACCTATGAAAAACGTTGAATTTATCCTCAAAAGGATCTGCTGCATAAAATAGCACCCCACAACACAAATTAATACAATTTTAAAACAATATTTGGGTGTTTCTGAGGTTAGGGGGCAAATTGCAGTTTTAAATTACTGAATTTTTGTTATCATCTCTTTGGCAAATTTATGGAATTTTTCCAATATTTGTAACACCGTGGCCCTGAAACCACAAAGATTATTACACTTTTTTACTTTTTTGTATACCTTTATAAGTAAGGGCCTATACATCAACTCCGTTACAATTTTGCAACGAAGTTGATGTAACGGAGTTGATAATTTTGTCATGTTTGACCTTGTTGGTTCCACATGGAGCAAGGGCAAAATGCAAATAATATGTTTTATTCAAGAGGTCAATATGCCTGTCTTCCTCAATTTATGATGTTTGGTTTCTATGGTTACTTATCATACAATTTGCGTAACAGAGGTGATGAATGCATTTAAGTACGCATTTATTTTTGGCAAATTTTCCCCTTGAACTGTGATGCTGGTTGGTCTGATTGGTCTGATTGGTCTGATTTGGTCTGATTTGGTCTGATTGGATCTGATTGGTCATTGGTTAACACCATTGTCTATGAATAGATGGCAGCACAATACACTCGTAACGGAGTTGATAAAAATTCAGGACAATAGCTCTGAGGTTCACCCCTCTTACACTTATGGTCACAGGCGCATGAAACTTTGCTGAATTATAGTTGAAACAATAGCAACCCCACCCAAACTAGATTTCCCATCCCTGAATGATGACAACAGCTTCAAATCATTGGTGGAAAATTGGCTACCATGGGTTAGGACAGGCCATTCCGAGACCATCTGAACATTGAACTTGATTTTTTTTAAGAAATCTCATGTATATGAAATCCATTTTAGTGCTAATTTTTTACCATGATCCAAAACATTCATCAAACAATAAAATTGATTCAAAACATGGCAAGTCATTGAAGAATTCTGACCAAGGGTGGTCAGGACAGCAATTTGCCCCCTAATCTCAGAAACTTCCATTTACGAGCAAGTTCAACCGGAAACAATAATAGTACCTTACCTCTGTAAAGTCATATAGTAGAGATAATGCCTGTATATGACTTCTTGCCTGATGCCCCGCACCAATAATAGCCAGTATTTTCGAATCATCTCTTGCCAAATACTACATAAATGAAAATATGGCTAGTAAATATAAAATTTTATTGAATAAGGGACATTATGTCATAAATAATTATATATAACAGCCCATATGTGGGCTCCACACATGCATGTGCACACATGCATTAGTGCATGAAAACAATTATATATTTATTATAATCATTTTGTTTGTTTAAAATGTCATAAACCTAAAAAAGAAGTCTTTTACCTTGGTTGCAGCTGCTGAGGCTGCAGCAGTCCGCATCGTTGTGATTACCTCTCCATCCATTATCTATAAATGAGATTAAGGCTGATTTAACGACGAATTAAACAACGATCAATGGGTATTTCTATGCTGTTCAGTTGCAACTTCAAAGATGAAGCATGCAGTTCAAAATGAGAGATGTTAACGAAAAAACAATAACTGCAAAAAAGATGTGAATTGTGCCGTTGGTATCTGCTGCATGCTACTGCAGAACAAGCAAAAGAAGTGCTGGATACACACAACGTTTCCGTTTTTGGATATGTGTAGCAAAACAGTTAGGAAGTTGAACAGACTGCTGCTGATGTCAAATCAACCTAAACACGCTTATCAGAAAAACGTTAATTATATGGACGCAAGACTGGCATTAATTTAGATTTCTATATTTTGACATACTGAGCAGCATTGAGCAAGAGAGTGTACGTACTCACAGGTATGACCTTTGATATTATATCTAATACACATTTGTGAATGTATGTCTGTTTGTTTGTCTGTTCTCATTGCAAATCAATATGCAGCACGCTAGAAATGTACAAGGACATTCAGTACGGATAACTTTTGATGCTAAATATCATGGGCACATTGGAATGAGAAATAAAAAATATTAAACCCTTTATCTAAAGACTTTATTTAATAAAACCTAAATTAAATTAAAATCTTATTAATTAAAATCTTTATTTAAAGTCTTTATCTAATAAAAAGTATATACATACAGCTTTTAGACATCCGTTGGATGGTTCAAACAGTAAGATTGTTGCCAGGTGTGTAGGAATGTCCGTCCCTGCATTCTGTGGGCAAACTGACACCAGCTTTGTTGCCAGTGCATCGTCTTTTGCACTGTACCCTGGCATTACCCCAAGGAGGCTAAAACACGTGTATACAGTACTTAGTTAGTAGTGTAAAAAACACATGTATTGCCATTGGTTATAGCACATCGCTGCACATGTATACAATACACCGATTGACAGTTCTGCGCCCATGTTCTGCGCCAGTAGTTTCGCATCTCCGCGAGAGCCCGGATGTGCGAGTAAACTCCGCCATGTTGTTTATCTCGATGCGTTGTCTAGCTGCCTTGAATACGCAGGACGCACACCTTTGTGTCGAAGAACAGTGCACGTCGCAGGGAATAGAGCAATGATAATAGATGACCTGAGTGACATGACACTTGGTACATTTAAATTATGGTGAATTCATGCTCTAAAAGTCTTTCTTAAGCCAATACGATCCGTTTGAACAGCCCTTCACACTACACGTTTCACACGAGTACAGAATTTTACTCGCAATTCTGGGACGGAAACTGCTCCTGACCTTTGACCTTAGACTTAGCGCATGCGCAGTGTTAAACTGTCAACCGGTGTATACATATATATATCATCATAATACATTCGCGACGCAATTGCATAAACCAATAATAGATTTTAGGGCACAATTTGTTGGTCTAACTGTAAGTACGTATAAACGTAGCGACACTGGGATTCACTAATACTGCCGGTCAATATCATTCAATGCTAATGCAAATCATGCTTCAATGCAAATCATGTCAATACGATGTTTTATTTTGCTAGTAGTAGTGCTCATAGGGTCTATGTCCCCCAGGGTACTGCCGGAACGTACCCTGGGTATGGGCCGACATACCGGAACGTACCCTGGTAACTATCTGATATGGTTAGGGCTAGGGTTAGGGGTAGGGAGTAGGCGTAGGTAACTCCCTAGACTCGTTAGTGGAGTAGGCGAGGTACGGTCCGGCATATTAGATAGTACCAGGGTACGTTCCGGCAGCACCCTGGGGGACATAGACCCTCTCAGCAGTAGTACTACTAGTACCAGGAGTAAGATAATATAGGATCTTATATTATCTATCCTATATTATCTTACTCCTGCTAGTACTACTACTGCTCATAGGGTCTATGTCCCCCAGGGTACTGCCGGAACGTACCCTGGGTACGGTCCGGTATACCGGAACATACCCTGGTCACTAATTGATATGGATAAGGTTAGGATTAGGGTTAGGGTTAGGATTAGGGTTAGGGTTCGGGTTAGGGTTAGGGAGTAGGCGTAGGCGACTCCCTAGACTCGTTAGTGGAGTAGGCGAGGTATGGTCCGGCATATATTATAGTACCAGGGTACGTTCCGGTATAGCGGACCGTACCCAGGGTACGTTCCGGCAGTACCCCGGGGGACATAGACCCTCTCAGCACTACTACTAGTACTAATACTAGTACTACTACTAGTACTACTACTACTAGTTAGTTAGTATGTAACTGTACAACTTCAAGACTACAAACCTTTGGTATTTTTTCACCGGCACAAAAGTTCTTACTGGTTGTTCTATACCTGACGACTCTTTGTCGGACAGGTCGCCTAAGCTCCTCTCCACGACGTCGATTAATTCTCTCATGTCTAAATATTTAGACACAGTTTCCGCTGACATCGTCAAAGGATTCCTGATGCCTGCCATTGCAGCTGGTTGTGTGGGCTAACGCGTTTTTATTTTATTGGAACTGCACTATACACCCCTACTTCTCACTGCTCAGTGCCTAGACTCATCGACGTACTTCGGAGTTTGGAGTAATGTTAGCTATCACCAGAGCACGCATATCATATATAATATAACATACGTACTCTGGGTACTACTACTACTAGTATCACTTGTGATCCTGTCGCGTGTAAACATCGGACATACTCTGCAGATGGCATCTGATAAATTATTTCACGCACTAGCCTACCAGCAGCATAAGTCAGGGAGCCAGACTATAGGTAAATACTAACCGAGATTGTCGTCTCGCAAAATCGCGTATAAGCGCGAGCGCGAGCGCGAAACATGGCGACGGAGTTGGATCGTTAGGTTGTTGCTCTCCGTTTGTTCTGCCACATAAACCGCTTAGGTCATTTTATATAAACGTGTTTGCAAACTTGGCGGTGATATAAGTGTACAACGTTTCGGGAATGGCAGCGGAAGAAGCGGAAATCTTAAGTTTAACTATGCTCAACTACGAAAGGTCGTGGGTCGTTGAATTCTTCCACAAGTTCCCGCATTTCGATTTCAGCTTCCAGCCAATAAATTCTACTTTTGACCCGGGAAATGAATCGTATACACAGGTAAGTGATTGCAGATGGATTTGTTTATGTGGTTAGTGCAGATGATTTATATTGAATAGTGTGTTAAGTGACATTGACGGAAAAAAAGTAATAATAAACTGAATACTCATGCAGTCAGTGAAACATATACAGTGTATGTATAGTATGTATGTATGTATGTATGTATAGTATGTACAGTATATGTAGTAGCGTAGTAATGTTGCTACGTTTCTCTGTCTTTGTGTTCGTGTCGCAGGAGTCGTAGATTGTTTATTACTCTTTACTGAGTTTATGATAACATTTTGCAATGATTATAAATAATATTAATCGTCATATTCCTGAGATAGCTTGTATAATTGACCACATGCTGTATAATGTTTGCGTATATATCTGTGGCTTAACATTCTATTAATTGGAATATTAATTATATAATAATAATCATAATTAATAATAGTACAACGTAAATTGTATTGCCTTGTGCACGTCGTAGGTTACACAAGGTAACTTAATTAAATTGTCTAGGGGTATTCTCTCACATGCTGTTACCAATTTGTTGGCTTGGCACCCCGTCATGCAGGCGGCATGCAGTGTAAGAATTGAGTAATATTTGCCCCAGGTGAGTAGGTGTGTGGGTTGGTAGGGTGGGTTAACTTAAAACCCCAGCAGAGCTAGTTAGCCACCCAGACATTCCATGGGTGTTGGATCTGTTCTTGTCCTTTTTACTTATACCAGAAGAAATTGCGAGTTTGTTTACAGAGCTCTTATTCTTATACTCAGTCATGTACATGTAAATGTGTTGATTGCACTCAAGTTCCACCCAAGCCACCCTTGTGAGACAGAATACCTTCGCAATGACTGTACCGTCATGTTTCACTGAACATTCTTCTACTTGCTGTCATTTACATGAGATTGCCAAATGGTTCACACTTAAGTTCCTGAATAGAAAGTGGAGAATGGGTTGGCCATTGTCCAGCACCTGGCAAAGCAGTAATTTGTGCACCTCTGTCACTATTGTTTGGTGCCTGAAGGCATATAGCATGTCTTACTATATCTGGCTCATGCTGTGTCTCTGTAGGTACTTTCTCGAGAATGTTTCTGCCTCGGCAACCATAACTATGTAGACAAGCTATTAGCCCAGACAACTAGGTAATCTGTGCGTGGATGCGTGCATGCATTCGTGCGTCTATAGGCAGATATACATGCACGCGTTTGTACCCGTAACTAAATGTGTCCATGGAGCCTTCTCTTCAAATTCACCCATGAGAAAATGTTTGTGTGCATTTCGAATTCGTTAATTAATAACAAGAAGCCATGAGATCTCCCCTATATAAGCTTTCCCTGGAGTGGCTATCATGATATTCTGCAAAGTAATCAATGACAGCATTGCGCCCAGAGGAACCTGGTTGACTAAGCGATGGGAGAGCAAGAAAAGCAAGATGAACTGTGTGCTGCATGGAATAATGCATGATAAACGAGAGCACATGCTTTGTTAGTCTGGCTTGTCACCCATTAGCATTTTGATAGCTGCTGCGCGAATACGTGCAATTTATGCGCAAGTGTATGAAATTTCACTTCTATTTGAGAGCTTTTTTTCCCTATCACGCTACGACTGCTTGATAAACATATATTGTGTTTCGAGATAAATCTAAATTATTTAGTTGCGCGTGCAACTGCAAGTGCACTAAATAATTCGATTGGATTATGTGCATATAAATTCTTCTTTGAAACTGAGCGTGTGTGCGTGCGCGTGCATGTGTGTGTACGTGTGTGTGAATAAGAGTAGGTGTGTGTGTGTGTGTGTGTAAGTGTAAGTGTAAGTGTAAGAGTAAGTGTGTGTGTGTGTGTGTGTGTGTGTGTAAGTGTAAGTGTAAGTGTAAGAGTAAGTGTGTGTGTGTGTGTGTGTGTGTAAGTGTGTGTGTAAGAGAGCGAGAGCGAGAGAGAGAGAGAGAGAGCGTGTGACTGTGTGCGTGTGTGCGTGTGTGTGTGTGTGTGTGTGTGTGTGTGTGTGTTTGTGTGTGTGTGTGTGTGTGCGTGCGTGTGTGCGTGCGTGCGTGCGTGCGTGCGCGTGTAAGAGCGCAATGGCGTCGAAATTTTGTGAGGTAAAGATACAACGTGTTAATAAGCAGGTGTCTGCATCAGACTGCATGTCCTCAGGACAAGTACATACATGTAAACATCAGAGCTAATGATGCAGCAGGCTTGATAATGCATCCCTGCGAATAGGTCGGCTCGGCTCATTAGAGAGCGTGCACACGAGAGCGGGAGCTTGGCAGCGCCGTATCTCCAGGTAGTGGTGTACAGGCTATTTTCCCATTCACTGGTGATCAATCGGGTTTCCTGTTGTGCATGCTCATTTAGTTTAATACATCAATATTTTGCACACGATTGGAGCACTGGTGTAGTGTATTTCTACCGGGTAGTAAGAGTCAGTACGCGCTGTCGCGTGTAGAATGAATGCAAAGGTGATAACGCGAACGCCGCCAAACAACGAGGATTCATTCAGTGCACGTAATCGCGCACCCGTAGAATACAAAGTCTCGCGCGCGCTATACTAATATCTTCTCGTAACCATGGTGACGAGACTCGGATGTCCAGGGCACATTTTTTTGAATGTGCATCCCGGTGCGTGTCTGCGGAAGCGCGTGTACGTAGTCGGTCATAATATATCGAGACCGCGTTCAACGCTTTCTCTTCAGGCAGGGGTACTAAGTAAGGGGTGACGGCCCGTCTGCTCTGTATCTATCTATATAGCATGCTGCTGGTTGCTGCGTGGTACAGCAGTCGTGGGAAGTGTAGCGCGGGGTAACGATACACGCAGCTTCTCTGGCGCGTGCATGTGCGTCGCCCGCATCGCCTATCGTGTTGATTGCTCGGGTAATTGATTGACATCGGGCCAGCCGGGGTGGAAATGAACAGTGTAGGTGATAGAAACATCTTCTCCGGAGTGAATAAAAAACGCTTTTTTTAATTCACTGCCGATCTTATGGATGTATTAGAGAATCATCAGTCGGCTGGCAGCGAATAGCTGAGACCTTTCCCCTTGCAGACGGTACCGTCTTGCGCGCTCGCCTGCTATGGGTGCGATCACTTGTCGCATAGATTGCCCCGATTTCATTAAATAAACTAATTAAATAAATTTCTCGCAAACGTAAGAGGATTTGCGACTGATGCTATAGTCCGAGGAATGCGAACGAGATGCCATGGGGTGTGGCGCCCGCCTTTCTTGCTCCCCGTCACACCCTTATCAGGATCATTCTTGCCACCACGTGCACGCCCGTATGCACGCACGCACACACACAGACACCTACTTGACTGCCCCACATTATTTGACCTAAGTGCTGAGCTTAATGTCTATAAGATGCGCCACACGCGTCAGCTTCAGTTGGCTCAGAATTGGTATCGATCCATGCCAGAGAGAGAGAGTGCGTCTGTGTGTGTGTGTCTATGAGAGAGAAAGAGAGAGAGATATAGAGATAGAGATAGAGAGAGAGAGAGAGAGAGAGAGAGAGAGAGAGAGAGAGAGAGAGAGAGAGAGAGAGAGAGAGAGAGAGAGAGAGAGAGAGAGAGTGGTGTGTGTGTGTGTGTGTGTGTGTGGGTGTGTGTGTGTGTCTGATGTCGTTATGAGAAGAGAGAGAGAGAGAGAGAGAGAGAGAGAGAGAGAGAGAGAGAGAGCGAGAGAGAGAGGTGGGAGGGAGAGAGAGAGAGCAAGAGAGAGAGAGAGAGAGAGAGAGAGAGAGAGAGAGAGGAGGAAAAGAGATAGAGAGAGAACGAGCGTGGTCCGGAGAGACAGACTCAACGCACATGTTGGCGGAGACAGTGTGAGAGAGCGCGTAGCGAACCTACGGCCGTACCTTCCCGTCACTAACATTGATCGGCGAACACAAAGCAAGGTTATGGATGGAAATTGTTTTACTGCAGCCTGGGATATGCATGGGGCCGGCGGTCAGCTATATAAGCTCGGAGAATCAATTGCCACATATTATTATTATTATTATATATTGAGAATAAATTGCGAAATGTATTTTCTATAGAGAATAGTACATCACACATTCGTGCCACCAGCACTCTGGCTGTTCCACTAATACAATTATAGTAAATAAACGCGAATTATGTATATACTCCCAATTTGAATCAAATTATATTTATATACGCTATATCTCGCCTAATAATTCTGCTTCAACGCTGTTCAATTTATTACCACAATTTAATGCATTCGTGTCATCTAGCGTCAGTCGTCAGCAGAGAAAGGAACGCTATGAGGCAGCCTAGCTCTAGAACTATAGCCCTTCGCTCTGCCACTGGCATAGTTCTGTAGTTAGCTCCATAGGCTATAGTTCTAGAACTAGAGGCAGCCCAGCTAACCACCATTCCCATCACGTCGCCATAGCAGCAGCAACAGCATAGGTGCCGCGGTACAGTCTGTGCGTATCCGGTCACGTATACTCATGTTGTTGTTGTTGTTGTAACGCCATATCATTTTTCCCCGCCGGCTGTAATAAGGCACGGTAACGCGTTCGATGGCGGGCTGTGGCATGAGTGCTGTGACTGCTAGCTTCGGGGGGTTAACGCTCGCGCTGCGTGCAACGCGCCTGTAATGGCGCTGTGCATTGCACAAGCGTTCAGCTCGTTGTCTTTGTTAAAAGCCCTTCCCCCAACCAATGGCAATGGGCAAATAATAGAATGCACGTATATACTGCTTCCTGTGTGTACGTCGTTGTGTGGTATAGTCAGTGGACTTTTTCTGTCGGTCATGTTGGGCGCAAAACTCCCGTCGGTTACTGCGTTTTAGCACTCAACGCGGACGTACATAACTTTTACGGTATATTATTGAATTGTGAGCGCACAAAACGTCAGCTATATCGCCTACAGACCCTACCATTATTGTTTGTTAAATGCCCGTGAGTCACGTAGGGCACACCCACCCCCGTAGAATGCAGGCATCGATGCGCGCACGAGTAGAGCCGCACGCACGCCCATAGCAGCATGCACGCACGCACGCACATAACTCGTGGATGTTGCTG